ATTTGTAAATTAGCACTGTATGGACACTTGCAAGTTATTAATGTAAGTTTCCGTTTTGTCACTTGTAAAGGGGGGATGGCAAAATCCTCATCACAAGATAATGGAAGCACATCAGAGGCAGTTTAATATTATCTGCTACTTACTTTACTAATACTACTAATACATACTAATACATTCAGCTTTACTGCTTATATTACAGGAGCATTAGTGTATTAGAAATCAAATAACAAGAAGAAATTTTAGATAAAAAATGCTATGCACAGAGACTTGTCGAAGATCATAACACAATTTCAACTTTTATTTAAACTAAATATAATCACTCTTTCTTTGAAATTCAGTTGTGAAAAGAATTAAGGCTTACTTACACAATATGTATTTATTTTGAATATTAATTTTTAATAGAAAAAGCAAACTATCAACAGAAGCTTTTGAAGATGTTTATTCAAGGGCAATCAATTTACAATACCATAGAATAGATTTTGTGAGGAGAATTTTGCATGTGTGTGATTATGCGTATTTTTCTGAAGAAAAGCTTACATCAACTTCCTGACGGAACCATCGACAACACAGAGATTTCACTGGTGATGGGTTGACAAGCTTTAAAATCATCTCTAAAATCAGATGACAACAAAATTCCAGATTAGAACATTAGTTACAATCTCCCTTCTAGTTCTCCAACAATCTAATCTCTCCTGAGAGTTTTTTGTTTTTATAGAATCATAATAAAATACCAAATCACTCAAGTAAATACATAATATCAATGGGTAAACTCTTTATATTTTCTAAAGTTTAATTACATTTGTCTGATTTTTTGGGAAGAATCATTTATGTATCTTTTACTTTAAATGTAATAATGCTGAATGAAATATGTCATTTCTTGTATTATATAAATATAAAATTTGAAAAATCATTTAATTAAAAAACCCATTTTCATTTTCATGAAAAATGTTTCATTGCCTTTCAAAGACAGTATACTTAGTGATTAAGGGTATAGAATTTAGAACTGGACTCCCAGATTTGCAGATTCAGCCCTATTAATCTCTGCTTTGTAATGCCCTAGGTGAGTTGCCCTCTTAGTTTCCTCATCTCTAAAATAAGGCAATATTGTTTACCTGTCTTATAAATTTGTAGTAGGGAATAAGTGAGTTGAGAAATTGTAAAGTTTTTAAAATAGTGTTTACTACATAGTAAGTACAATAGATGTATTACCCTTATTATGATATTACAGATAATATTGCAAAGCTGATAGTTAATCAAGAGGTCATTGTTCGGGGTCCTGGGTGGCAGAGTCGGTTGAGCATCCAGCTTTTGGTTTTGGCTCAGGTCATGATCTCAGGGTTGGGCTGAGATTGGGCTCTGCTGAGTATGGGGTCTGCTGGAGATTCTCTCTGCCCCTCCCACTTGTTCTCTCCCTCTCTCTCTCTCAACTAAATAAATGAATCTTAAAAAAAAAAAAGAGGTAATTGTTCTTATGGCATTAAATTTAGAAAAATTAGGAACCAATAAAGATAATTATCAGTTTCATAAAGAGCCAAAAATGGAGTCAGAAAAGTTTGTGTATATATATACATAATTAATGATTGAGATAGACACCATACTCTAGGCAATGCATGTTCAAAAATGGGCAATACTGGGGCTCCTGGGTGGCTCAGTCTGTTAGGTGTCTGCCTTCGGCTCAGGTCATGATCCCGGGGTCCTGGGATCGAGCCCCACATTGAGCTCCCTGCTCAGCTGGGAGCCTGCTTCTCCCTCTCCCTCTGCCTCTCCCCCTGCTTGTGCTCTCTCTCATTCTCTCAAACAAATAAATAAAATCTTAAAAAAATGGGCAATACCTCCATTTTAATCAGGTCAACTGTTTGTCATAGATTATAGTCATCCATTTTAACATTACTACTGCACTAAGCCAAGACTTAAGAGAAAATAGAAAATACCATATCCTGTTTATGTGTCTTGTCTCAGAAAGAGAACTTAGTGTCCTCACTTACACAAGAAGATATTCATTTCCAAAACAGTAGAATGTGATTAATTGCCTTTTGATTTAGTTTTCTTTTGATGTGGTCAGAACGTATCTTTAATTTATATATAATGTTTTGATGAAGAAATTCAGTATCACACCCATCAGGTTGACATGTATTTTTTCATCCGTATGTTGTTAAAGAGGTAAGTGTATAGTACTTTAAACAAAAGAAAGATTGTCAATAAACAGATGTTTTTCAGGATATGACTTATGACAGAAGCTCTACAAACAGTGATTTTCTTTGCCAAATAATTCCTTTCAAGCCCTTCTTTTTTAAAGAATTATGTAATATCTCTCATTTTATGCCAGAAAAATAGCCAGGATATGAATTTGACATCACATGCATGGTGAGATCTTGGAAAAGATTCTGAGAATGCTATTCACTTCCCTACAAAAGGTCACAGAATTAATTCTCCAAGCCAACGTTTGAAACTGGCTGTCCCGAGAGCCTTGGATGTTTGGAAAATTAATGTGCGTATGTTCAAAATATACTTGTGCATACACTTCTAATGAATGCTTTCACAAGACAGAACATTGTGTCCACCTCATTTTACAGTTGCCTTTTTCCAGAGAGAATTTTGTAAATCTGCAAGATCATACAGGATCACTTAACCTAGCTGAACCAGGAGAAAATTGCCCCTGAAGAATGAACCCTATGAATTATTTTAGTGTGTTATGGACTCTGACTTGAAGGAGTTGTCAAATGATCCTCCTGGGACTCTAAAACATTCAACAGCTTCAAATGTCTGTTTATATCTCTCAAATTATGTTAATTGGACCTCACCAAGAGTAGTCACTGTAGAACATGCATTATTATAACTTTATGTCTATGGTCTACATGAAAATGCCATTTTGGAGAATGTGGGTACATTTGGTAGTGCTGATGATTATTTTTTGTTAAAGCTTAAATAAGTTTTATATGTGATTTAAAAAAATTTTTTTAAAGATTTATTTATTCATTTAGAGAGAGGGGGAGAGAGAGAGCATGGGGGGACAGGTGAAGGGAGAGGAGAATCTTCAAGCAGACACTGGGGAGTCCGACACTGGGTTCAATTCCACTACTCATGAGATCATGACCTGAATGAACACCAAGAATCTGATGCTTAACCAATTCAGCCACCTGGGTACCCTGACTTTATATTTGATTAATTCAGGCATCTTTGTGTTCCTCTTACTTAATTCAGTGATGGGGAAGATGGAGGAGTCTGGAGGTGGTAGAATACTAGTAATCCCTAATAAATACTATTTATTTATTTATTTATTTATTTATTTATTTTTAAAGATTTTATTTATTTATTTGAGAGAGAGAGAATGAGAGAGAGCATATGAGAGGGGGGAGGGTCAGAGGGAGAAGCAGACTCCCTGCCGAGCAGGGAGCCCGATGCGGGACTCGATCCAGGGACTCCAGGATCATGACCTGAGCCGAAGGCAGTCGCTTAACCAACTGAGCCACCCAGGCGCCCATAAATACTATTTATTGAGTGTTTACTATGTGTCAGATACTTGTCTAAGCATTTTACATGTATTAACTCATGTATTGCTCACAACATTTCTCCAGAGCAAGTACTATGATTACATTCATTTTTGAGATGAGAACCCTGAAATATAGTGAAGTAAAGTAATCTACCTACGGCTACAAAGTTTAGGTGAAAAAACCCACCTAAGGTGCTCACTGATATGCTGAATTTCAACGGGAATACTTTAAGGGGCTGACTAGAGAGTTCTCAGTAAGAACTTTATTTGAATAAACTTGGATTTGTTTCGATCTGGGCCTCTTTTTCCTTGGTCCAAGAACTACAAATTCTTGCTAATCTTTCAAGATCATGTTTCCCAATAAAAAATGTATATTTTCATGAGTTATGAATTATCTGGAATGCCAACATACTAATATTTTCTGGAAGGGGAAAATGGGCAGAATGCTGGTGTACACCATCCAGGTCATCCTAGTTTCTGTGAGCCAAATTAGAAGTTTGTTTGGTAAGTTTAGGATTATATCACACAGATTCTAGAAGGCTATTTCTTGACCCTGGTAAAATCTGATGAAATGCCCGAGTCCTACAGCAGAGGACCCCACTCTAATACCTAGAATTTTCAAGTCCTCCAGATTCAGGTTTTTTTTCCTCTGATATTACTGCTGGATATTCACTGACAACTTCTTCAATGTTTCAAAGATGACTGAAAGTTGTCACACAGATTCCTTCTTACACCCTGTTTTTCTAATTCCCTGAATATACTTGCCTCCTCAAACATGCTGTACATGTGATCTTGGGGAACTGTGCCCTTTGGCGTTTGGTATTAATTTTATGGAACCCACTCTCAAATTTCTTTGTGAAGGTCTTTTCTGGAAATATAGACCTTTTGTAAACATCTACAGTCCTCTGTAAAGGAATTAATGCTTGAGCAAAATAAATAAATGTGATTGGATGCTTAAATATACAGCTTCTCTCCTCCCTGAAAAACAGATTTATATATAAAGGTACAGCTGCTTCATAAAAAATAACATACCCAAGGCAAATTTTATTCAAAGAGTTGTTAGTCACTAACCAAAGCTTGTTTCCCAGTTGTACCCTGAACAACAGAATATTCATATGATATCATAAATTACTTTTAAAAGTAATTACTTTGTGTAAGACTGTTGAATCACAGACCTGTACCTCTGAAACAAATAATACATTATATGTTAAAAAAAAAAAAAGAGGAAGAAGAAGATAGCAGGAGGGGAAGAATGGGGGGGGGGAACGGAGGGGGAGATGAATCATGAGAAACTATGGACTCTGAGAAACAAACTGAGGGTTCTAGAGGGGAGGAGAGTAGGGAGATGGGTTAGCTCGGTGATGGGTATTAAAGAGGGCACGTACTGAATGGAGCACTGGGTGTTATACGCAAACAGTGAATCATGGAACACTACATCAAAAACTAATGACGTAATGTATGATGATTAACATAACATAATAAAAAAAATAATTACTTTGAATTCTTTCAGATTGACATTAACACTTTCTTGTCCAATGGATCTCAAGAATTTTCCAATGGATGTACAAACATGTATAATGCAACTGGAAAGTTGTAAGTATGGACAACTTACTTTTTCTGAACACTTTAAAAAGTATAGTCAATATAAACTTTAATGGATTATGTAGATAATTTATAATTATGTAATATTTTTTGTCAGATATTTAATAAATAGGCATGTTATCTGTCACCACGTAATGAAAGTAATCTCTTTCAACACATGCAGTCTATACTTTAATAAATAAATTGAGGACCTAAGAATAACAGTTTTTATGCTTGACAAACAGCTATGTATCTCTATACAAATTACCAAAGGTAAAAAAGATAATAATCCTTAATATCAAACCGCCATTTTTTCATTGGGTACCTGCTACAGACCAAGCATTTTGTATGTTATTTTCAATACTCACAAAAAAGATATTGCTGTCCCCATGTTTCCACATGTCAAAATGGTCATTTTGAGTGCTTGAGTATCGTGCTCCAATTTATGGAGGTGGTAACAACAAATCCCTTGGTTCCAAAGCTTATGCTTACTTTGAGCCATTTTGCTAAAGTTTATTGAGAGCGTGCTCTGCTGGGAATGTTATGCGTGTTATCTCGGGAGAAGAGAAATTTCTCACACTTGATCAGAGATTTAACCAAGCTTACAAGCATTCCTTTAAATTTCGTCTTTCAAAGTGGATCCACGTGCATCACTGATTAATGTTAACATAAAAATTTCAGATCTTTCTGTTTCTTTGAGCTTGTCTATAGAATCAACCCAAACTTAATTGATTTTCAGTGTTTAAAGGCATAAAAATGTAAGCATTATGCAATCTTTTTCTTGTAGTACTGTGTTATATCAGGAAAAAAAAAAAAAAAAAAAGTCTGACATGTTCCTTGAGGAAAATTGGCAGGTAGGTCTCCGAGGCAAGGTTTGTAGTGCAGAGGATCTGTCGCTAGATGGCGAGCCTACTTCATGGGGGAATGCGGCCATTCCTCTCCGTTTGGTTTCCCTTCAAGTAAGGAAGTGGAAATATCTCAACGCTAATAACCCCTTCTTGTTAAATTTAAATGCATTACTTTTATAAGTAGTTCTTAAATGTTAAGTGTACACATGAATAAAGTACTGAGCAAATGAAAGGAAAATAAAAGAATGTAATTTTAGTTGGGGGAACTATTTAGAAATATAAATGGGATGGGGCAAGAAAAGATTCTCATCAATGGATTTTTTTTTTTTTTTTTTTTTTTTGAGCCATACCATGAAGGCATTTTGAGGTCAGGCTGATTCTGTATCTTGGTTGCAAAATTAGGTACATAGAAGGGTATCAAGAAAAAAAAAATCCTGTGCAAAATAGTCGAAGACAAAAACAGTTGCCCTCATTACTAAACCAGACATGGTGGATGTTATCCACTAGGCAGGAGGAATTGTTCAAGATTTAGGAGCAAGAGAATGAATCTTCTTTAAAGATTCTTTCAGCCAAATGAACCAAGGTTATTTAAGAAGGTTTCATAATATTCCAAAACAAAGTAGAAGTAGGGACAAAGGGGAATGATGTGGAAGGTAGAAACAGTAGAGGTTGATACCGTAGAGGAGGCGAAATTTTATCTTTACCCTCTTACCCTTTTTCAGGTGGGTAAAACAGGTTAACAGGAGAAAGAATACAAATTTATTTAATGTAAGTTTTATGTAACATGGGATCCCTCATAATGAAATGAAGACTCAGAAATGGCAAAACCTAAATGTTTTTATACCAGTTTGGACAAGAAGAAGCAATTATGAAAAGGCAGGTAAACTATGCAGGGAAGCTAAAGGAAGATAAAGAATTATTTTAATAAGGTCTGTATAGAATTCTCTTGGCTTCGATTCCCCATTGAAGATATTTCTTTTTTCCTGGTGTAGGAACACTCCTGTTTTCAGAAAGAAAAAAAAAAAGGGGGAGATTAAAGTGCCCTTCTGGCATTTGCTGTTTTTCAAATGCCTTTAGCTCAAAATAATCCTTATACAAAAGGGACATACTTTGGGATGGCAGAATCTACCACACTTAATTTGTTTCAATCCAAAATAGATGTGAAGCCTCTGGGAGCAGATGAGTTCAAAGCTTAGGCAAATAGAATCATACTGGAATTACTAACAGAGAAAGAAAACATAGGATGAGAAGTAAACGTGAAAGGGAATATTGATAAATCCCATCTTAATATAGTCATGTTTTGGGAAATTTAGGTATAAAACTAAAAGGAGGAGTTAGACCTGGGGATACACTATTAAAAGCTGTAAAGGAAGTGTTTCAAACAATAAGATAACATTTCTGAAGCAGAGAATATAGAGGCAAACAAAGAACAGACCCTTCAGAAATGCCTGAATTTAGAGATAAGTTGGAAGGATTTCCAGTCAAGGGATGGTCATAGATAGCAAATTAAAATCAGTATCATTCAATCTCAAAAGAAACTGCTGAGATCTGTTTAACAGTATCAAATGCTACCAAAAAAAAAATTTTTTTTAAGGTAATTGAAAAAAGTGCCATTGTTATCAATGGCAAAGACAAATGTGATTAGAATGATGTCCAAAAAAAAAAATTTCTTTTGAAGGGGGGGAAATCGGAGGGGGAGACGGACCATGAGAGACTGTGGACTCCAAAAAAATGTTTAAGTGCATGATGAGAAAGTGGGAGCAGTGAGTAAAATCTATTACTCCATGAATGTTAGTTACTAAAGAAAGATGGGAAAGAGTATAGTGCCTGAGGGATAACTGGGTCACCGGACTTCTTTTCTAGAATAAGGAAAGCATACTGGGCTATTTTGCAGGACAAAAAGCTGACATGAACAAGGCCTTTCATTGTTTCTGCCTTTCCCAGAACATTTCCAAATCAATCAAAAACTCAACATGGGAAAACAGGGCCTCTTGCCTCCTCTTGCCTCCTCAGACTTGTTTCTAATTTTCTTTATCAGGAATGAATAGATTGCTTCACTTGTCCCTTTCATATTTCAGTCTTTATAGACTTCCTGCTCTCTTATTAAAAATTAATTGAGCTCACAACAGAGATACTGTTTATCAAGCATCTTCAGCAGATGCTAAGAAAATCTGTGATACACAGTTCCTAGTGTAGGGAGAAGCAAGTCACCAGGAAAGGGTGGGCAGGGCAAGTCCAGGGGAAGAGAAGTCCTGTGATAGAAACTGATGAGAAAACCAAAAACACGTATGAGCTAAGGATAGCATGAAGGAATAAAAATGGAGTAAATAACTTTCAAGCCAGAACTAAAAAATACTGATTCATCAAATAGAATGTGGGAAAGGACAAAAATTTAAAAAATGAAAATATAATATATAGGAAGCACAGAAAGAGAGCAAAAATAGCTTTCAATATTACCATAATTACAATAAATGTGGGGCACCTGGATGGTTCAGTCGGTTAAGTGTCTGACTCTTGATCTTAGCTCAGATCTTAATCTCATGATCATGAGTTCAAGCCCCATGTTAAAAACAAAACAAAACAAACAACTTAAAAAAACAAAACAAAAAAACCCAAAACAAACAACAATATAAATGCAAAGGTTAAATTCACATAGCAAAATAGATTCTCCAACTAGATGTTAACAAATATTAAGACTTAACAATATGTTGTCAACTAAACACTTTTTAAAAACATTTTGCAAAAAATTTGGGGAGAAAAAGACAGAAAAATGCATATCAGAGGAATGTGTCTGAAAAAATCGAGGATAATAATTTCAATAACAGAAAAAAAATATAGAAAAAAATTATAAGACACAAATGCTTGAGTAACATGCTGATAAAGAAACAACATGTAGGTAAGCTATAGTAATTATAAAATTATCTTCCATATAACTTCCAAGTGTATAAAGCAAAAAAGCAGGCAGAACTACAATTTAAAAAAAATGGATAAATCAGTAATTTATTTGAAAGTACAGGTACAGGTATTGGAACAAAAGTAATTTATAGATAAAGAGAAAACTCCTGGTTTGTTTTTAGCATAGAAAAACAATTACAAAAATTTTATAGTAAACCACAAAGGAAGCTTTAATAAATTCCTAAAAATCAACACATGATGGGATGGGATCTCTCACTAAAATGCAATGTGACTGATAACAATATAACATTACTATAAATTACTATATATTAACCTAAATTATTACATATTACTAAACAAAGATCAGGAAACCAACAGCATATAATAAATGACTCCTTGTTTAAAGAAGAAATAAAGGAAAACTACATATTAAATGACATTGAAGGCATTAACTATCAAAATCTTGAGACACAGCTAAAGCAGTTTGCTGTACTTAAAACTACTGAGCTATGCCTTTGATTCAAGAAGACCAACAAGGAAAAACAGAGCATTCAAAGAATCACATAAAAACTCCAAACTGGTACTTTGAAAAGTCCAAGAACTTAGAGACACCTCTGGAGAAACTCTTCAAAGAAAAAAGAAATTAGGTTGCATATAAGAGATACAGAGTGAAGAGAAGGAAATAATGGTAAATATACTAGATTGAAAACAATAAAGGAAAATCCTGAGCACTCCATCTTTTCCAGTCCTATCTACTGATCTGACATTAGAAAAGAACCTCAGGCAAAAGCTTTATTTGAAAAAGAGAATAAAAAGAAATCCACACACCACAGATAGCTAATTTCATCATAAATTAATGAGAAATTCAAAGAGCTGAGACAATAGTGGGGAAAACAGAGAACATTTTGAAGACTTTTTCAATGATTTGCCTAAGAATTAAGCGTACAGGTGATTCAAGTTTTCTCTTAATCACAAGAATTATATGTTGCTTCAGTTCCATGAACTAGAAAAACGTAGGTGATTAGTGGAGAAAGTAGTACAGAAGTTGACTTCTGCTTAAATATGCTGTGTTTCTTATAAAATTGTGGATTTCACTAGAAATTTATTTTAGATTACTGGGGTTTTGCAATATAGCTTGAATAAGGAATGGTTGTGGAAATATAGAAATAAGGTTAGCAGTGTTGCTTGGAGACATGAAGATAAATGAGATTTCTGAAGATAGTCTTAAAAATAAAGAGCAAAAGAGAGGACAAGGAAGGCAGCATCATT